CCGGGTAGACTTCATGCGTGTTGAAGGCAGTCACCGGAATGCCGGCACATTCGATGATCGTTTGGTACAGCAGATCGCCATATGTCTGCTGCAGACAAGCCGCCATGGACTGGATCACCGTACATTGTGAGCGACAGCTGATGGAATATTCAAGTGGTGATGTCACTCTACACGTGCATAAATGCTACCGATTTTTCCTGGAGGATTTCTCTGCAGTAATATTATACACTGAAGTTTGTGTTCTATTAGTCATTTTATGTGAAGAACGCTTACCGTTAGCTAAGCGTGACCGGTTGCGATAGCCCGATTACTGACTCGGTGCCTCCGGGGAATACGCATGCCACGGCTACTACGTTCCAACTGTAAATGAATTTCTCACTGTAGTAACGGTAGCTAATGACAGTCAAGCAGGTACGAGTACATAACATTCTGTACTTTATCGATCTTTTATCATCGCACAGCCTGTAGTGTTCATTTAAGTAGAGGGCGTAGCGCGCTCCAGCTGAGGCAAATCTCGTCGACAAATGAAACGAAGGGATTCTTAATAGTATCATTTCCTCAATGGTTCAATGGTACCAGCGGTGTTCTCCAGTGCTAACAAAATCACGGTAGTCTTAATTCAGTATAATGGAAGATACTCACTGGGTTTTTATCGAAAATCTCAACGTTCCACTTACAGTTTACAGATAGCAGTGCCTCGTAAGCTATCGACGCAACCGGTCGTTTCATGGATCGATAAATTTTGACCGTTTGGAATTAGTGCAGTCAAGCGAATGCGTACTACTCTTTTCAAATTCGGAAGTGCAATGGACAATCTGCAACCTCAGTGTATGACCGCACGACTGGGAGTCTGGGACAAAGCTGCTAACCAGCTGTGTCGCAGGGGAGCTCTTCTTTGAAATCTTGCAATAATTTCCCTTAACATAGGAAAATATTGTTACATTATAACAGGGGCTAGTGTAATCAACCCACACTGACATGTGCCTTCTTTCATGATGCATCCGATAATTGGCATGGACTAATTGCACGGTAGTTATTGCATTCAGGCCCTTGTCAAAGGGTAAGCAGACGTTTCTACATGCTGATGCGCAAAACCTGCAACTGTTTTACCTAATAAGTAATGTGCAGCGCGGGGTTCCTGCTAGGCGCTAGCCTGTAGATACGCTAGTTAAACAAAGTCAGATTTTTATCATACGTCATTGCATTTAGAAAACTGTTTTGTTTTCTGGATGAATTTAATATATTTATACATAAACGTGGATTTCTGGCCGGATAAACATAAAAAAGCTTTTGGTAGCTGAAAATCGAAATTTATTTATATATTTTTTAGTCCTAATTTTTTTAAATCGATATTTAAAGCCGTTCAACGGTATCTACAAAACGTGCTTTCAGAGTTATTTTCAGCAAAGGGTCACGTTAACCCAGCGGCGGCGCATCTGAAGCCCTGGTTGATGTAATCGGTCGATTAATGTAGTGAATCGACTAGATCAATTACAAACAGAGCGGTGTTTCGCTTACGTTTGCATTTGTGGTCGTACTAACACACTCAGTGCCGAGTACCTTTTCTCACTTGCTTTTGTTCCTCTTGCGCGCTTTTGTCAGTTAGACGCAATCGGTTCAATAAATACTTCAAGCCTCAAATATTTTTCGGATTAGGTTTTAAAGATCGTCTGCTACGGTATACCGTCCATATAATTTACAAAGAAAATTTTCATTCAAGTTTTGAATTGGGATTCAAAAAAATTAATAGAAGCAAACTTTTGGAAACATTTGCACGGACTACAGCGTTTTTCGCTTGTTGGTTAGTGGGCACACATTTGCTCAGAGAGCGATTTTGTGTGTTATGTTGTTTGTTTATGATTTGCGGAACATGCCGTGAGATGCTATAAAATAGTCGAACTCGTTAGAAAACTACTGTGTACAATTTGTGCTACTGTCTACATGAAATGTTGTTATTTTACCAGCAGTGTTTTATATGGTGCATGCTTACCAAACTAGCATGTGGTTGCAGTGGATAGTAACTACTCGGTTGAAAAGGCCTGACCATAATGAAGCAAATTTCCGTTTCCGGTCCCCCTTGTTTTTTGTATGTGTAACTACTGGCAATCGTCAATGTGGCGAGACGGCCCAGATCTATGTCCTTACCGAGGTATTCTACCGGTATGTCAGAAGTTCAATAAGCACACCAATGGCAGTTTGTTTCGCACTACAGTACCTGCTCTGAAGTCCTAGGGTAGTCTTTTATTTGCTAAACACTTTGTGTGAGAAAATAACATAAACTAAAGCTTTAATTTCTAGCCAGTTTCAGTGTGCGCGCAAATATACAGCACAACCGTGTGACAGTGTGCTTTGGCTTTACTGCATAGTTTCTGCTAACCTCCTAGTTTTTCTGTTTCATCTTGCCAGAACCAAAAAACACCAACCGTTTTCGTTTGGATTTTTATTAAAAAACGTCAAATTATAGAAAAATGTTTTGATAATAGTTACAATGTGCCTTTAACAGGCAGTTTTGCACAAAAAATGGCCTTGTGCACATATATTTTTGTGTCGGTACGCATTTGGTCTGGTACATATTTGGCCTGGGCGACACGAAAAAACTAGATGTGCTGTAAAAAAAGCACAAACCAGTGCGACTGTCAACTGAATTTTGATAACGTGTGGCAAGCGCGCTGTAATCTGGGCCTCTGCGTCAAATACATATTGTTGCCACACTTCTTTGGCCTTTCGGAGGTGGCTTTGAGCTCATTTTCCTGGCGTTGCTTTTGCTTGATGTTAAAACCTTATTCATCTTGGGACGTTATCTGCGTATGGACTTTTGAAATGTACGTACATTTAAAAAAAACGCACGCAGTACGTATAAAAAAAACAAAATCCGAAAAACTATCATAATTTTGTGTTTTCATTCGCTTATGTGACTAGTTGCATGCGGAAGCACGCTAAATTTAAGTATGTACTGTTCTCCGAAGTCCCAAAGCTGCGTAATTAACACAGATTCGTACCATGTAGTAAATACCACGCACCATACAGTACTGCATTGTTCACTAGAGGCGCACTCTCCAATTCTTCATATTTACGGGCAAATAATCTAAAACTAAAGCTGATCGGAGCGTAGCGACGTTGTTTCCCGAGTTGGTATTTACATTAAAATACGCATTATGAATTTCATTCACCAGAAACTGCTGCGTTTTCATGCATGCTTTAGACGAAAGCTCCTACTCTACCTGAGGCAGAAGGGTTTTGTTCAAAAAGACACAAACATATCCTCTCGTATTGCGATGGTAACGATCGAGAGCTGGGAGTTCTTGCTGGGAGAAATGCAGCTGGGCAAACAAGCAGCTGCAGGACGCAGCCACTAAATGTTAAGATGTTTCGTCCAGTTAAGCGGGCGCAGTAAAACAGTCTATTGCCGTAACTGAAGCCACTCCGCTGGGCGGTCCACGATTTGAAGGCCAGGGCTGGTACTTCGATGATTCCGCTAATATATATTTTTGTATATGCAAATATAGTGCAGTGCGAAAATGATTGGAAATACTTGGTCAGTGTGTACATATATCTGTATATTGCAAATCAGTCGTTTTTGCTCGTGTAGCCGCTCGCCACAGAGACTACGGGTCTGGCGATTAATATGTTGACTCATGCAGCGGAATTGACTGAAATGATGAGAATGTCGAAGTACTGTTCTTGCGGCGAAGAACAAAAATATATGCAAAGCTGTTACACAGTAAAGCAAATGCATATTTACTGCACAGGATCCCCCACGATATAGTTCAGGTGACGCGCCGGTTAAAATGTTAGCGTAAGTACTGCTGTTTACAGGTGTAGAATTTCCAGGAGCACGTAGAGAAGGTTTCACTGTGGTATCGTACAATGTGTACCGGCCAGTACAATTTAATTCAGGAGGCCAGTGGACCCGGTATTGAAGAGTGCTCTCGCCTCTCGATAGGCTTCGATATTTTAATGGTTGTATTATATACACTGTCGCAGAATAATGTTGTATTAAAAATCGTCTTCGGTATGATAATCGATTAATACATATGTTGACTCATGTTGTTCGTTTTTGAGCATAACACTGGATGTAACTACCACGGTTAACTAAATAGAACGAATAACCAAAGGTGGGAGTAAAATTTCCGGTCTCTACAATCTCAGAAAGGAAACTACAGTAATTAGCTTTTCCGAAGCGGAAATTCAACTAAAGCAGGAAGGCAGGTGTGTTGACACGAGGGAGGAAAACTGCAGACGCTTGCAATAGTGCCGGGAAAGACGGCGCTCATATTATGGACTTTTCAAATTCCCTTGCGCTGTCTTCTCTGCATAAAAGATCGTGTAAAGTGGGAACGACCAGACGATAGTTTCGGTCATGAACCCGGGATTCAACCCAGTAGTTTAGAAAGAGAGCACAAATTCGATATACTTGCAGTTACGCATTATAATTTTGCAGCCGACCGGGAAGCACGTTCCTGATGAGCACGTAATTACCGGAAAATCAATAAGTACACTGGATGCACTGCCTTATACTTCGCTTTAGTAAACTGCCTTTCCTTTGTCTTACATTAAGGATCGGCTTGATTTCTCTGCCGCCTTGGGGCTCGTCTGTTCAAATTGCGCATCACAGACAATGCGGCAATTACCTTCCGTGCATATATGCCGACTGTTCGACGAAATGACTTCCTTACATATCCTTGGTTTTCCATATTTCCGATATTCCGCGCGATTATAACAGAGCAGTCTGCAAACCCTTCAAAAGTGCTTTGCTACGGTGGCCACTCTTTGCCACAATGAGGATTACAAAGGTACTATGGCACTTTACCGGCCGTTGTTGTTTATTATCTGTAATTATCCTCGGTTTCCTACCGGTATACCCGGCTTCCATGGCTAACAACACGTTGTCTTCAGTATTAAGTGAAGATGAGATCGACATCCTCTTACGAATTTACCACCAGCTGGCGAACATTTCAGACGCCGATTGTTCTCAGTTATTTCAGTTAATGGCAGACAATATGGACATGTTTTCTAACATCTCTGCTGATGTGTTTCCTTTTATGGAGCCAGTGAACGGGTTGTCCTTGTCGTTTCGCATTACTGCCACCACGACGCACGTTGCCATTTTCATACTGGGAGTGTCTGGTAATGCCCTGCTTATCATGGTGGCACACAAGTCCAAATTTCTCAGACATCCTATGTATACCTATTTGGTAAGCGCCATAATTACAGCTGATGAAAATTTTGGTACCAGTGAACTGCAAATGGCTCCGCAGCGGCAGCCTAATTAAGGTAATTTGTACTTTTCGCAGTATCTGATGCGGGTGTATGGTCAAATTCAACTTGCTGACCCCGTTTTATACACATTCTCATTTCATTATTTTTGCAGTTAATGGGCACTAGAATAGTTAGAAAATTAATAGTGTTTTTAAAAGCCACTCTGCAAGCATTAAGCATTGGTCAATGGCTTTTTTTGGCCAAGTGGAAGTCCTGCTCTATTGCTTTAGTTTATAGTAGTCTTAAAGCAGTATTATCCTCCACTACGATTTGCAACGAGATCGAAGCTGCAGTAGGATATCTGTAATTATTACTTCGACATTCTCACCATTATAATCCATTCCGCTGTATAATCAACGTATCAATCACTTGATCGAATGGACGGCCTCAGTGGCAAGCGGTCACATGAACAACTGCTGATTGACATACATATAATATTCTGTCTGTGCAATCTGATTAATCTCACAGTGTACTGTATGAGACGTGGGAAAATCATTATGCTTAAACGTTTCCTTGTATTACTGTCCGCACTCGTTTGCAACGTGCCACTATGGCCGGACATCGTTCTTCGGCATCGCGTCAGGTTCTGCTCATAACTCTGTAATTCCGCAATGTCGCACTTCTGATGCGATAAAGTAGACGTACAGAGAACGTTTAGAGTAGAATGCTTTCGACCTTCTGCATTAATTTTATTGGCTCGGCGTGTACATGGACGGGGGCGCAGCTAATTTCCCGCTCTGTGAGCGCTTTCTTTTGTCAGTCTTACCGGCATTTTGTTCCTCTGACCGTCGCGTTGCTGCCGTTTATCGCACACGTGACAGTCATTGATTTGACACCAGTGCCGCTTTTATGGTGGTGGCTGTAGCTGGTTGCGCAACGGAATCAGGGAGCAGCCAGAACACAGCTGATTGAATTTGATGCTACATTCTGGCTCAGTAAGTAATGATTGAAATCAATATACGGCAAGCTCAGTGTAAAATCAACTGTCACTTGGGCGATAAAATGGCAGCTGAGCGGCGGCCGGAGGAACAAAGTGCCGATAAGTCAAGAAAAAGACCTCCACTTTGAAACTTGGGGCAAAATTTTCTTCACACTTTCTTTGTTTCGTCATGTCGGCTGTCTACGGTCCTTCATGTAGTGGATTTCGGAGGTAAAATCGTTTGAAGCACAAAGCTGTCCACATCGTAAACAGGATGCATGTACTTTAATGGTGATCACACTTCAAGTCTATAGATGCAGCAGTAATAACGAGGTGTCAGCGCACATTTTAATCAGTAAATAAATGCAACAGTACACAGTATCTTACCTTAGCAAATGTGGTGCACTTACATAACGAGAAATATTGTAGCATTCTAATGATTTTATCATGAAGCCCAACGAAGCCCAGCCCTTGGATAACCACCTCAATAATAGTGTGCTAACCTATATCGACCAGACGTTGAAGTCCCGTTTACCGGGTTGTCTGCTCTTGATAGAATATGAATGAATGAATATCAATGCGAAACACGCCGATAATCACAGCCAGCTGATAACAATGCCTAAAAATGCTTCACACGTAGTGGCTTCTTGGGGTGTAATTACCGTAAACACTCGGATCTTTTCTGTAGCTCAGTTATTAAAATTGCGCCCGCGTACTAAACCTTGCTAAAGTAGAATTTCCCAGTTTCGGTCCGGCTGCTATGGAAATGTAGAGCACTCAAAAGAGCATCATATCAGGGCATTTTTGGTTTGGATGTTACGGTGTTCCTCTATCGATAACGCTGCATGGTCTCCGTAGGTGTCCATGGCTTATTCCGATCTACTAGTGTGTTTAACGGCCATTCCGGAAGCTATTGTTGGGTACCATTTCGAAAATCAGTGGTTTCTCGGCCCGGTGGGCTGCTCCGTTTTCGTCTTCCTCAATTTCTTCGGGATCAATTCCGGGGTCGCCAGGTAATTGTATATACTCGTACCGTGCCTTTAACAGGTATCCAATGCACTCACAAACTCCGGTGATCCAAAACATTAGGACACAGAAGGTACATTATGGGCCTACTGGGCCACAGGCAGCTGCATCCAGAATTTATTAATTCATGTACAAAGTACTATGTACTAAAGGACTTAGTAATGCCATCCTTTTTTTTGCCAGACGAAATATATGACATGTGGAAGTCATATAAATGTTTCGGGTTAGGTTTCCACAATGTTAAGGAACTTTTGGATGCCAGGCACGAATGCACTACTGAGTACTAATCCGTTCATAAATATATAGTGCGATAAGAATGAAAAGTGCAGAGATGGATTTGTGAAGCACATAACAATTAAGAGCCTGCGCAATATTTCTTATTAAATCTCTACTTTTTTCCAATTTCTTGCTTTTTGCCATGACATCGTATGAGATGACCCTTACTTTATGGGGAGATGCTGTGAACATATTATGCACGACTCGGCTGCGCACGAACATCCAAATATCCTTACTTTGCCACACGACTGGCATAATTTATAGCGAAAGCGGTTCAAATCTTGCCGGATGTTCAGCGCATGGTACAGTTGTACGAGTATTTACAGCAACTAACGTTACTTGAATGCATTTATGAAGTACTGTGATTCATTTATGCGAACTAATAATATGTTACGTACTCGTACGTTTATGAGGCGCGCGTTCATTTATTTATGCGTTAAAGCATTTCTGCTTTTGTGCATGTATGCCAAATGAGTGGTTGCAGATTGTTCGCAAAAGCGTTCGAATGGTAGCATGGATAATCAAATCCCTACAATCCTTCACTCAGGCTTTCAAGGGTTCACAAAATTTTGTCATTCTTGGAGCAATGAGAGCAGGCCCCAGGAGCTGATCTCAAGGTCGCACTTGCCTGTCGTTTGCAAATATATATTGAAATGTTGCATGCAGGAGTGATCCGTAAACATTTTTGCATTTTTAATAAAAACAATAATTTTACAAAATGTGTTACGTACCTCGAAAAACACCAGCCGATGCAGCTAGCTCTGTAGCTGAAACAAATTTCAGGTGGGAATCATCTGCACCGCTGATGGTGTTCGCTATTGGCTATGGGATTTACCAAGCACAGACAACCACAACCATTTAACGTTTTACATACAAATGGCAATGCACAGCTTTAACGTCGATTTTCAGCGTTGATTTAAACCTGATCTCACTTCTCAATACTGCTAGTGGAAACTGGAGTACAAATACTGTTTTTATAGCATGTCCATGATGACCTTCGAGCGCTTCCTCGCCATTTGTCGCCCCTTGTTGGCCCGGAAAGTCTGTACCGTAGAGCGGACGCGCAAGATCATCATCTACTTATGGCTCTTCGCCGCCGTTTACTGCTCACCGTGGCTGGGTTTGACAGTCGTGAAAGCCATCGAAGGCACAGATCGGGAGATCTGCGATTTTCGCTTAACGCAAGCGTACTACATGACGATCTTTGGAGCGGATTTGTTACTGTTTTATTTCACTCCGTTGTTGGCAGCCGCGGTAATGTTTGTACGGATCGTCGAAACTCTGCGAAAGCGTGAGGCGGAGATTGAGGGATCCATTAGCGCAGCGGAAGGCTTGAAATTTGGCAGGAAGTCAACAATACGGGAAAAGGATGAGCAAGAGCAGCTCACGTCCGCTTTGCCTAACACTGTCAGCAGTATCACTAGCGGCAGCGGTCACAGCTCTACGTCCAATGGAATTGAATCAAAATTTCAGCACAGAAAAATTAGGGCACGTATACAGGTAAGCGTGGCAATGAATTGTGTTCAAACTTCAAAGTATAGCAACGATAGCATGCCAGTTCCTCCTGGTGATTTTTGTCAAATATCCCACGACATTGTGACTCCGCATGGGGTTTTTTAGGTTGTGCGAATGCTTTTTGCGACTGTACTGATATTTGCCATTACCTGGCTGCCATTCCGTGGTTTGCTAATGTACAACACTTTTGCGGCCACGCCATGGCTCAACGAATGGTACTCCTTTTTCGCCAAGACACTCGTCTATCTGAACTCGGCGGTAAATCCAGTCCTATATACCATTATGAGCGCGCGGTTCCGAAGAGCATTTTATCGAACTATTACATGTGGAAGTAAGTTCACCTACCACGAAACTTTACGTGCTACCTGATTGGAAAATTATCTTCGACGGATGTTTGCAGAAACGCGCTGATCGTCCAGAAGAGCCAGTGGTACTTCGGTAACCTTTTACCTGCTGTTTTTCTTTTCGATCGGTAAAAACTGACTGTCAACTAGGCAGCGGCCGCGGCCAAACTCACCTTTGCGGACCTTCAAAAATTTTTCGCGTTTCAGTAAACGTTTTCCGAGTTTGTTTGCCCTGATATTATTATTTGTAATTTTTTACTGACTTTCACCTGGGACAGTCCAAGTGGTTGCGGGACATTTGGTCGCGTTCATTTTGTTGCACTTAAGTAGTAAGCAACAGTTCGTTTAAGGACAAATAAAAGGAAAACCGTTTCGCTACATGACATTTCGTTTCGCTAAAGACATTTTGGTAGCTGGGAAATTAAGGAGTGGTTTAATGGCGCCGAACTCTTGTCACATATGACCTTTCGTCGCAAAACCGATTGTCCTTCAACAAAATCTCCGCAAAGCCTAAGGTCCTGCCGGTACCTGCCTGACTGAAAATATGAAAACTGTCAATGATGAAATGTCCTACGATTAAGATGTCTGGTGACGACCTGCCGCGCACCTGCTGACGCCTATGTTCGAGAAACACCGAAAAATGGTGTGGTGCTAATGGCCAGCCTCATCTCGGCCGCGGCGTCTCGTGGTTTTGCCAGAACATGCACGGCCACCGGGATGGAATGTGTGTGTATGCGCATGCGCATGTATGCCATCGCAGACTCCTGATGCGTTCCCAGGTGTCCTCCCTGATTCGCGGCCAGGGAGGTGGCCACACCTGATCGTGCACAGGTGACTCCCAACCATGGGAGTTGAAACCACCACCTGGTTCGTGGCCAGGGGAGGATGCTGCCTTTCGCTGCGGTTATGCGCGTACCATAGCGAGAGAGCTGCGCAAGCGAGGACAGATCTTTAATCAAAACTTTTTACAACGTTGTGTGAATGCTTAGTAAATGTTAAGTCGCTGGAAGCATGCGGTTTGAAGACGGGTAAATTTTGATAATACTAAAGGTTAAATAAATTTTAACATTTAAACAGCTAATGCACAACTTTCTAATTCCCATCCGTGTGCAGAAAACAGTGCCAACCCACCAACTTGACACACATTCAGTATTCCTTCCGGGCAAATGTTCTGTAGCAACAAAACGAGGCGATGATGGCCATCTTCCACTAAAAACCAAGCAGATCTTCGATAAAAGAGCAGGGTGGCTATTGTTGGAAAGCAGGGCGCTAATTATCGTGGTCGTTGCGATTCTTGTTTGCTGTTCGTATTTCCCCATCCGTGCGCGTCGTTTTTTCCAGACAATGAATGTAAACATTTCTTGTCTTCGCTAACCGTTACCGTCTTTACTTAATACCGACGGCTTCACGGGCTTCTAATTTATGCGCAATATCGGTGACCTTTACATATGGTGTATAAGAAAATGAGTCACGTTAAGTATTAAGTACGCTTGTTACTGTGACTCTTTGCTTCACATATAATGCTAAACTGATACAAAATTACTGGCGTAGGTATTAAGTGCAAAATCAACATAATTATACTACAGATACGTGCGGCGCCCTATACATTTCAGATCTCAGTAACCAAAAACTGACAACACCAAAAGAGCTGCCTCGGTCCGGATCTAAGTCAAATGTTTTTCATTTTCAAATTCGTTCTACCGGAACCTTGTCGGCAAGCTGGTTCAAGTGATCCAAAACACTTTTAGAACCTTGACCTTGACACTTAGAAACAATTTGCCCGGATACAATACTCGACATTCCTATGCACATTAAGTAAACCGAAAAACTAAGAATAAGTTATACTGATTTTCGTGCAACACCCATCACAAAATTGCCCTACAGACCAATCACAAGTTACCCTACAGGCTTGCTTTTTCGGCACTTGTGCACGCTAGATTACGGTTCCAACCATGCGGTGTATAACGATTGCTGCCATTCGTAGTGTTACAAGTAGTTTATCGAGTTTGATAAGCCCACTTGTGAAATACTCGCTATAGTTGCATTTAGAAATGTATGGTTCTGTTCGTTGGCTCTTCATAATTTAACACTTCTATTCGGAACGAATACACAATGAAGAAAAAGCCTTTGGTCTAGCTTTTTTTAATTTTTTGGTAGGCAAGATCAACATTCCGAACTAATGTCCTTACTTAAGAAGCTTTACAATGACTGTTAAGGCAGTTGATGCATTAACTAACAGATTATTTGAGAAATTATCCGTTCAAATTGGCTGTGGAAAAAAGTGGAGGCGAAGCCGCAGCTGTTGCTTGTGCCCTACATGTTGTACCGCAAATACTGGTGATGTTGCAATTAGAAGAAAAAAGACCGAAAGCAAGGGCCGACTAAGAGCAAACATTTCCAGCACTGGCAGCAACCCCGTGTAGCAGCTGCGCCCCTGTTTTAAGGATGGCTTTGACCGACGTAAGTAGACTAAGTTCACAGACTACGTTGTTCATGGCTGGTGGGCATACAGGACTCGCTTTGCCCTTCCGCCAATAATTTTACATCCCTGATGATAGCTATAACGTGTTTCCATTATTTTGTGAAAGCTCAACTGAGAGCCTGTACGGACATGTGCAGAAGTTTGATTGTAAGATTTTCCGAAACTTGACTCGTAACACTATACGATTTGGGATTTTGCTTGCTTATGTTATAAAGAACAACGGAATTGTGGTTTTGCGGACAGTGCAAGCAAAGCTTAAGTTCTTTAATTCCATTTTCTCGCTGTAAAAGTTTCGGAGAAAAAAACGAAGGAAATCCCAATAACCAAGGAAAATTGGCAATTGGGTCTAGGGTTGATACCGTTATGGATATGCAAAATTTCCCGCATTTCTTTCTATGGTGACCATTCTTTTCTGGCTTAATGGCATTCTGCAAAGGTCAAGGTCGGGTTATTACGTAAGTCACGCGGGTAAACTTCCGTTTTAAATGCACATACTTTTACAAGTGATCATTTGACGAAAAGCCCTTCGGAACCTTGCACTCATAACATTATACAGGAGTGGATTTATCGCTGAGTTGAGATAAATGAGAGACTTGGCGAACAGGGAGTACCATTCGTCGAGCCAGGGCGTGGTCGCAAAAGTGTTGTACAGTAGCAACCCACGGAATGGCAGCCAGGCAATGGCAAATACCAGTACGGTCGCAAAAAGCATGCGTTCAACCTAAAACGTTTCGCTTTCAGTGTGTGACATGGGACAAAAGTCATCGGTTTTTACGGAGAAGCTGACGTTTTCGAACTGTACAGGGCATACTTTGCCAAGCATACTTGTATACGTGCACCGCTTGCGCTGTGCACAGTCACTGTTGATTCGGTTCGAGTGAACGCGCAGGGGTTTGCGTTGCCGTTGCTGGCGTATATTGTCGCAGGCAGAAGGGTGGTTGATCCTTGCTCATCCTTATGCCGCATTGTTGACTCCCTTGAGAATCTCCCGTCTTCCACTGCACTGACGGATACACCAATCACAGCTTCACGCTTCCGAAGCGACACGTCAATTTTTATGTAGATAATCACCGCCGCCATTAGCGGGACGAAGTAAAATATTATCAAATCCGCCCCAAAAATAAATATATAGTAGGATTGTGTTAATCGAAAATCGCAGATTTCTCGATCTGTGTTTTCGATAGTTTTCACTTCGGTCAGACCCAGCCACGGTGAGCAGTAGACAGCGGCTGCGATCCATAAAGAGAGGATGATCCTTCGCGTGCGCTCCACGGTGCACACTTTGCGGGCAAACAATGGACGGCAGATGGCGATGTAGCGTTCAAGGGTCATCATGGACATGCTGAACAAAGAATACCGTTACATTTTTGCGCTTATACAGGCGTAAATCCATGTTAAATAAACTCTAAAAACGACGCAGCTGGCTTAAATATTACTATGTGCGTTTCCCAGCAAAGCTGGATAAACATCTCATGTTTACTACGAGATTTTATAGTACACCTGGTAATTTTAAAGTCATACAATTTTGGAACCTATTTCACGCTCGGCTCCGGCGAACTGCATTCGCGCGAAGGTATTCAAATGATCTGAAGGTACAATAATATTACAATGAAAAAGGTTCTGAGTGCGCTTAAGCCAACGTGTGCATGCATACGTAAAGAATACATGAATATGGTATTCTATAATAGCCTGTTAAACAACTACGCGCGTAACGGCAGAAGCAGAGAGCAAGTAGCGGTGTGCTACAGTAGCGATTTGAATGAAGACCCTCCGCTAGATCGGTCGCAATAACAAATTGCATTCTCCAGTTGGACTGTCTATCACTGCACCGGTCTTTGAAATCCACCATAGGTCAGGCTACTGCGGGTCAATAAGGGAAGTGGCCAGATGCATGGTGCCAAAGTTGGGCACATTCACGAAAACGACCTCCTTCGCGCACTCCCAACACACTTGTTGCATGGTTTTGTTGCATTCTGTAGCCAAATGATTTGCATACGTTGGCGCAAGAACTTACTAGAGCTAGAAGGACTGGGAACGGACTGCGCAACGGTCGACTACGTCATCACTGTCGCATACAGAAAGCGCGGCTGTGCTAATGCTTACCATAGTCCCACAGACTTTGTAGTCCCTTTTAGAAGATATTCTGAAGTTTCTTTCTCATAAAGAGCTTTCTGAGATTTTAATAGATCATATTAAATATTTAAATCCCAACTTCGGGGGATAGAAATAGAAGAGAACAGAAATCTGCTAAGAAAACTGACAAAAACCGTGAAAAACGCGCTTCTGTCACCATGGCAGCCGCCCTCCCGTGTACGCGAGAGTGATGACGTCAAATCGTTGGTTACCAGTCCTTCTCACACAATAGTAAGTACTGGGTTGGTATAAAAACCGTTTGTGCGCGCAACATCCAGTTGGAAGGTTATGGGCGAAATAACATTCCGAAAACCTTGATGCAAGATGGTGTACCAAACGATTCAAAAACTGTTTGGGAGGGCGCGAAAGTAGTCGTTTTCGTGTACGCTCCAAAATTTCGCAAAATGTACCTTGCCACTTTCATTAATAATTAATTTATCCGACAATTTCTCGAAGTACGGATGTTTTGAATATCTCTATTTAACATGCACTAGCGGCGTTAAATGCGTACCGCATGGTGTCTTATACTCGTATTATCCGGCTAAGCGTAACCCATAAATTTGCATTTTCCGCTGCACCACGACGCAGTATTTTCACTTGAGTTTGTATACTCGTATAATTATAAAGTTGTATTAATCCTTCAAGTCTTTGATTGCTGTAATCAGTACCTCCCCATGAACAAATCCCAAATAGGTGATACATGTTTGATGTTTCATACAACAGTACCTGGCGACCCCGGCATTAATCCCAAAGAAATTGAGGAAGACGAAGATCGAACATCCCAGTTGTCCAAGAAACCATTGATTTTTATAATGATACGACACAATTGCTTCCGGAATGGCCGTTAAGCAGACCAGTAGATCGGCATAGGCCATTGACACCTGCGGAAATCTCTCATCATTACCGAAGGCATAAATATTGCGAATTAATTCATCATCAACGGGTGTCGATATTTAAATCCCCGAAATCAAATACATGCTTAGCTTGATATGCTGTGTTCTTGTGTTCCATACATTTCAAAAGCAGCCGAACTATTATTGGGTGTTCATCAGTTGTAAAACTGCGCATAATGATCGGTTGGTTGTTGTGGATTTTATTTCACAAAACGCGATAATAATACAGTTTATAGTAAGAAAATAAAAAATTTCAATATTGATTGATTGTATGTGCCGCCACAGTAATGAAGATAATGACAAAAATCACAGAGGAGCTTTGCCAACCAAGTTGGCAATATGCGAAGCGGGCTGTTCAGATAAGTAAAACAAATAACAGAAGTAAAAAAATAAGAAAATAAAAAAAAATATTAAAAAAAATTAAAAAATAAAAAAATAAAAAAATAAAAAAGAACTAAAAAAATTGATAAAACAATAAACCAATAAAATAAGGAGGGGAAAATCGAGTGGAATATTCTAAGCTAACAACCAATCACAGCCTATAACAAGCACAACCCATCTTGATGACGCGCAGAGTCCCTGACCCCTCCCATACCTATCAAATCTCCCGTAGACTTTTGCTCGGATCTACCCTTTACATCGGAACGCTGTCGTCCCGCTTCGTAGAAAAATATCAAGCGTTAAGTCGCTTATGCAGCGAATAACAAATAAAGTTTGAAATACTCTTGTGTAAGACTTTTTGTCATTATTAATTTTATTCTTCTGCAATGAGATATCACTTACTGAATTAATTATATTAGCGCAAGGGATCTAGAATGAGAGACTTCATTGGCTGCCATCCATTAAATGCAGATCTCCAATAGGCGGATATCCTTTAGAAGTGGCGGTAATCCTTAATCGGACTTATAATTAGCCTTAAGTTAAGAAGAAAACCCAGGCCAGTGAACCTGCCTTACCACCCCGGGTGGAGGGTGCCGATGTGGCTGAATAGTAAGCTTACCGCATGTACCGCGCATATAAGTATACGCGCATAGAAGTATAAGTATTGCATGTTCAGCCACAATATCACAGTCTAGCCGGGTGCACGGCCACAGGAGCACAAGAGAGTGGTCAAAATCTTTTCGGTTTTTCCTTTCTACGCACTTAATTCTCACACAGCTTGTAAGCCATGATGCGTAAATAAAATAACTATTCTTTTAGGCCCCGTTATGTGGGACTGTATTGCAAGTACAGTGTACAGGAACATCGGGTTCAACTTATGGTTGACTGGCGACCATAGTGACGTTACAAGGAAGCTAATTGGACAGGATGTGATACAATATATGGAAGTAATTTTTCGCTCCGTACAGGCAAAAAAACAGACAGGAAAGCTTTTTTGACTACTGCTGAATTACTTAACCTTTATTCCAGACAGTCTCTGTACAAAAATGCGATACACAGTTGGCATCTAATGGTAAGCTTCAGTCTTGAATAATGTTACATGATAAATCCCGAACGTTGAACGTTTAGTCGGTTTAGGGTTTTATCCTATCGTTGTACGAGGCAATATTTATTCGTGGTAAAGAGCGATATCAAAGGCAGCCCGCTACTTCTCGTTGCAACTATGAAAGAACTCCTTTATTATAACGCTGCATTAAGCGTATAAGCTATTGAATATTTATGAAGATGAAACACCAAAAGATTCGGCAGATACCGGTATAGACATACCGGTATACCGGCAAAAATATCGATTCAGTTTAATGTGGTCAGGCTGACACCGGCCCATGACATTAATTACGTAGATAGATAAAACTGCCGTTGCTGAGAAGTTTACAACTCTTCATTAAAATTAATATTCTCAGGTGAATTACGGTGCTTACCAAACAGGTATACATAGGCTGCTTGAGAAACCTGGATTTATATGCCACCAGGATAAGCAGGACATTGCCGGACACTCCCAGGAAGAAAATGGCTGAGTGCACCGTGGTGGCAATAATGCGATACATCAGCGTCAACTCGTTAACAGGCTCTTCAAATGGAAACACCTCCAAAGAAAAGTTGGAAAGCTTAGCCATCATTTTTCCCAGGTAAAGTGATAAATTGCTTTCGTCGGCTTGGGAAATGTTAGCTAGCTGGTCATAAATTCCTAAGAGGAGGTCGAGCTCATCTTCGGTTAAAGGTGAGGTCAGGGAGGTCATGTCGTTTGTCAGTTGAGCCGGGTATACCGGCGACATACTGAGGATTATTAAAGAAAATGTGCAATAATATCGGCTACAATGCCGTAGTGCAGCTACAGCGCTCATTGTGACAGTGGGTGATAACTATAATTTCCGCTTCTTGTGAGCTCCGTGGCTTAGGCTTATTCTGGTAAAATCGCACCGGTGATCACAAATCAAGGGAATAAGACGCCATTCAAATCCATTAGTCGGCATATAAACGTGGAAGTTAACGTTATCTGGGATGCACGACGGAACAGGCGACCACTGCAAGCTAGCGCAACCGTAATGTGAGACCAGGAAAGGGGGGTATGCAACTCCAGAGTATACTGCAGCGTATCCAGATTACTTATTGATTTTTTACCAGTTACACGTGCTCATTACGATCAAAATCGACGTCGCCCGGTTGGCTGCAACATGATGATGCAAATGCAACAAAATCTTCCTTTCTAGACTGCGCTACAGTCTAGAAAGAAAGCGCTACAGTCACGTGCTCATGCATGATACTCTCATCATTCTATGAAGGCTATATGAGCGTTTAATTGGTGTGGGAGTATCATTGGCTAAGAAGATAAATTCCTGATAACACCAATTTGTAGCTCAAGAAACAAGGATACAGGGCAGATCAAAAAACATTTTATCACAACAACAAAATTTAATATTTTTGTGATCAGGATGATTGCATCTTATGTATGTTCTAAGTAATTTGAATCAAATCGTCGATAGTCGGTATAAAAGATCGCAAGCAGCACGATTCGAAGCGCTTGGGGCAGTTTGATGAGCCGCTTTTACAGATCTGCTGACTGCCGGGTAAGTTTTTCAAAAACTGAAGTTAGAACCACATGTAAACTTCTCTGCTATTGAGACAACGGCGTGGTATGATCGGTGATGTAGGGCTTCGCTGCGAGAGAAATTCTATCAAGTAGCAGGTGGCTGTAATACTGCATATTTATTTTATCTGTTAAATGTTTATTTTTATTTTAACTGCATTACAATGCATTGAATGTGATCCAGTAATCCCATTACGGGGAACTAGAAACAGTGCGTTGTTATTTTTTTGAAGAACTTCCTTTGTGCTCGAATTTGCGAAAACGTTAAAGCGGAAAGCAGTTAAACATTCAGGCAGACGGTGCATTACTAACAACAGAGGTGGTCATATTTCTTGGAAGAGGTTATCACGTTGCGGCGAAAGCTTGCTTCTCAGCGTCACGGCGTGTCACCCACTTCCCTATGGAAATCCCTTATAATATACTTAAACCGCAGATTAACGGGAGACGCCGCTGTTTTGAACTGTGTTTCGCCCAAGAGTATTGTATGCGTCTGTAATTTTTCTCCCTCTTGTCGACCGCCTCGACGCACCTCTTTTAGACGGCTAATCAGTCTCGGATAGCCTAATTGCTTTCCTAATGACTGAACTGTCGATGGTTGCGGCTGACTCCATTTTTCAGCTGTACTTTTTCGTTGTTTTCGGTTGTTGTATCACGTTTACTCAGAAATAAAACCAAAGATTCCGCCTTATTCCACATTTCCGATACGGTAATACAACCGTTTAATTTAGGTTTATCGAAAATCCTGGTCTTCTAGATAACTATACCCTTACGTCAGCTATTGTACGATATTGCTAATATTTCAGTTGCCTCGGTTTAAGCGAGCATGAGCAGTTACGCGTACGCTTTAACGCTGCAGAAGTGCAAAGTTAACTTAACTGTGGGGATACATTACGCTTTCGCCTGCACTGAACGAGGCTCATTGAGCGACCACAGGTCCACAACTCGGGGTATAGAACGCAGTTGACTGACACTAAAAAACGGCGTGGGCATAATTGCATGCGAAATACATATGCCGGTAGACCTCTTGCTTGTTATGCTGAGAAATGCGTTGTGTCAGTTGAACACTGGAGGTGGCGCAATTTAGGTATAAGCAACGCGAAAGGTTAGTTAAATTTTAATACGCACATCCGGCAGCGTTAACCCAGCTGAACTACATTAAGAAAGCAATTTACACCTTGAGACACTAAACACTGACTTAACTCAACTGACTCATACTAATACTGCATTGCAACGTGAAAGCTTCGAATACTAGGAACTGCACGCTGGCGTGTAATGTAGACTGGAGCGTAGCCAGAAAAACTGTTGTTTAGTAGGGATTTGATTAATTTTAATAACTGATATAGATCAGTGGAATTTCTGTGAAAGCCAGCTTAGCCAGGTTAAACTAATAGTTTGAGGTTGTTTTTTCTCTTGATCCGCAATAAAGTATATTGCCATACTTTATGTTCGTTTTGTAATTCAGAAACTACAGACTGTATCTGTACATGGGGAAAGCATAGCTGCCTGCAGTGAAGACGGGTTCGCCGGCAGTTTGCTGACCGCTGTCTTACGGACAGACAATTTGCTGGCGACCTTTTGCGAACCGACAAAAAGGGCAGCCGACAATTTTTGGAAACGGCAATTTGATGTTCGACATGTTGCGAAACGACAGTTTTTTAGAGCCAAACATTTTGCTTACGACAATCTCCTGACTTAGGTAAACATAAGGTATCATAACCGAATATCAAACAACATAGGCGTAAAATAAAAAAAAACATGCGAATAGCATTAAGAAATTAAAAAAAACCACTTGAAAGAGAATAAAAATATAGGGACACTTGGGAAGACCGCCACAAGAAACTGTAAGAAAACAGGGAAAAATACTAATAATAATGAGAAAAACAAGCAAAGAGCAAAGGAAGACATAGAAACCAAAGATGAACAACGAAACCAAAAAAAATGTCCAAAATACTAAGTAATCTTTAAACCAGACCGATAAGTAGGCTTTCGGAGAACAAAACACGTGGTCCTTGCAAAATGTCGGGCAGAAAATTGTCGGTTTCTTAGGTAGTTAAGAATTCTGGAGGTCGGGGTCCGTTGGCGTAGGCGGATTTGCGCATATTACTTTGGAAAAAATTTAATATGAATAGAAGAACAGGATGACTATTCGAAAAATGTCGTTTCTGAAGGCAGATTTTTAAATAAATAGGCAATTTCAGTGGGATTGCAATTTATGGCCGAGTTGGAGCATGTGGAAGCTTGTAAACCGTGAATAACATGGGAGAACCGAAGTGTGGCCGAAGTAAACGGTGGCTGCAAATGTTTGACCGAAATGAGCAATGCCGAAATGCAGACAGTTCAAGTTATCGCTAAGCCGCTAGGCTTTCTAAAAAGCCACTGGGAGCCCGTTGAAATTACTGTATTTGTTAGCTTACCAGAGCCCGACCTAGAAGTACACTGACGCTTTTAATTTAAACCAATTTTCAAGAATTCTTTTATTACAGCAAAGAGTATTATTGCTGCAACACCTTGAGCAAGCCGCGCACGCATTGACAACTACCGGCCTTTGGTTATTAACAATATTTTAAAACTGAATATGTTTGCCGCAGTGTAGTCTGTAGGATTTCAGTCACTTGGTTTAACAGAGGGACTGTAGTAGAAGTATTCTAACATGAGCTTCGTAAACTGCGGACCATTTACCTATGCCACCGCTGCCAGGCATACTAAAACCGCCATCTTTGTCTTGTGGTATTTCCAGTTTGTTGAAAGCCAAATACCCGTGTTCGTCCGTCTCCTCATATCTATCAGCCGCCTGTGGGCGATCACTTATCCCTTATCATACCGGCAACGCCACCACCCCGGGACCCAAGTGTTAATCGCCAGTGGCCGCACGACGATTAACCATAAAATATTCGAGGAAGATGGCGATAAGGTAGATGGTAAAGGATCTAGCCCGCGTTTGCGGGAGCAGCTGTGCAAATAACAGGATGGTACTGAACAGGAAGGATGCACAGGAAATGAATGTGGATAATAACGGTAAGGGAGTCCAGCCGGGTGGTGCGGAGACTGGTTGACTGGCGTTCTGCGCCGAGGTGTTATTGAGGGAGATCATAACTCATCTTAAGCGACAGTGTATGGCACATTTGCGAATACCTACTTGTCGTATTTCGTTATAGCTGTTGCACGCAACTAATATGAATCTTGCAGAAACTTCGTCACTGAATTATATGCTTCAAGAATGTTTAGGCAGTAGATCTCGCAATCTAAATCGGAATAGCCGAGTGTTCCAGACTTCCAGTTCTGTTGATTGTTATAACAATGTTTTTTTTTGATTAAATTTTGATTTTATATAATCCATTCGTTTTAGGAATCAGTTCCATTCGTTATAGGAATCTAACGTAAATGAATCTGTAACATCTGCTATCACAATATTTTGAGTATCGTATTGCACGGTCTAAGCTTCGATTCTAGAAACCAGTTATTGTTCTGTCTCGAGGAAATGCCGTTCTGCGATTTAATTGCGATTGCGGTCATGCGAATGCCCTGCCGCCAGACTGAATCTGTAACAAAGCCTAAAATAGTGGAGTTTTAAAACTACACACTCCCTCCGGCGCCCCCCCCCCCTAGGTGGGCTAGGGTAGGGGCACAGAAATTTTTTACTGAATTGTTTTCTATGTTAATAAATCATTTGACTATTGATGGTGAAGATATCTTTTCGGGCAAAGCGCGAGACTGACGAACCATGTAGTTAATAAAACGCTGGATAGCTCATTTTGCAAAGGTCATGGTTTTTGTTTCACAGTTTAGTGAAAAAGATCAATACTAAAGTGTCGACAAGCAGGACAACTGCTCTAAACTACTCAAAATTACTCTAAATTCAAATTTTACGAATCCCAGCCATGTACAGTATTTTGAACAGAGGAAGTGAGTTCATTCTTGACGTCCTTAACGTGCGGTGACCTCGATGTTGAACTTTTAGATGGAAATAATATCCTTTTCGCGCGAAGCGCAAAGCTGACGAACGATTTTATCTTAGAAGGTCAAGAAATTCCTAAAAAAACACAGAAATTTAATTTTAATTTTTCAGACCATTCTGAACTTTTCTCGATGGATTCCTAGTTTTTCAATCTTGCACATTTAGAAATTTAAAGCTGTAACTGCAAGATTCATCAAACTGAATAAAAATGTTCGAATAAATTAAACAAAAAAATAATTAGTGAATCTAATGAAATTTATCAAATTTCTAAATAACGATTTCAAATTTGGTAAATAATATCATCATTAGGAACAAATAGATCGGTACTTCGTAGTTCGTACTGTATTAAATCATAAAATAGGGCCGGTGCGAGAAAAGAGTTTATTTCCTGCAGTATCCGACAAAAAATAATTTTAAAATTCTTTATTAATCAAAGAAAAGCAGCTATCGGCGCTGTGAGATGGCTGGTACAGAGTCTTGCTGAAAGTTGAAATACGAGAAACATCCTCTACACTACGATTGCTTACAAATACATTAAATTAAGCAAAAACGTTAAGATAAATAAAATTACAATACACGAACTTACTGAAAAAATGAGCGTGAGCAAATGATAAACACAAAAAACAGTTCATTTAAATGAAAAGCGCATTAAGTGATTAAAACGCCAATTGAAATAAACAATTAACCGAATGTAAAAAGATAAAATTTGATGAAATAACAATAAACAACCTGATAACCAATCATGTCCACAAAAAATGGGACAAAAACAAAATTCAATGACAGATAATTTAAAAAACAAATTATCAAATTCTATAAATTATTGGTGAAGGCTCCTCGCGATCGATCATACCACCTTTTACCCCCTTTGGCTCCTAATACCACCTTTCATACCACCTTTGGCTCCTAGTACCACCTTTTGCCCACCACTTTAATTTGACTCCGCATACCACCATTTATTTAATACTTAAATACTTTTGCATGTGTCTATCCATTTTTATTAAATTTTTTATATCTGGAATAATTGAATGATTAGCTTGCGCAGCTACACCGATATCTACAGAGTACAGATCCCGCATCTATAGCGGATACGAAATCAAACCCCGGATTGGTAATTCTCTCGGCTTGTCCTCCGGCCTTTTTAGAGGAAGCAGTTTTTTTTCTCAAAACATTTCAAAATCCATTGTCGAATACTTTTGCCGGTATATGATGTCTCTGCCGGGCTTTTTTGTGGAAACGGTCATATGCGAATGCCGCAGCAAATGGCCTACATGTACAGTCAACACCATTTTTTTATCATTTTATTAAAAGTTGAAAAAATTATGGTGGTATGCGGAGTCAAACGTGGAGTGCAAAACGTGGTATTAGGAGCCTAAGGTGGTATGAAAGGTGGTACTAGGAGCTAGAGGTGGTATAAAGGTGGTATGCGAAGCCTTCACATAAATTTATTATAATATTAAAAACGAATATTTAAAGAGAATATTCAAAATAATTTAAATATAAAAGGTACCGCGATACAAAAAAAAACTAAAAAAACAGAAAATAAAAAAAATAAAAGGAAAATAAAAATCAAACATAATACAATAAAGTTCATGTCAGGCGAATTACAGAACAAATAATAAAAAAAGTAATAATTATGCCGTATTACCCACCTCGACTGACACAAAGCACATTTAAAACTACACAAAATGTGTAATAGTATGTACACACTATTTTAGCCTTTTAGGCTATCATCTGTAGAGGAGTATGTCTAGCCATTTCCACAGTATGCCATTTCATGGGTATAGTTTTCCTGTGCAGTTACAGTAGTTAAATAATTTAATCAATTCCAAAGAATCGTTCTGACTTCATCACGCGTAATAATTAAATCAGCTTAATAGTTTAATCAGTTTGTAAACATTAGTCTGCCTGCGCCATGCTGAATAATTTCCTCATCTTAATGATTCAACGGTTTATAGACATCATTATTCAGATATTTCGCCGCAGTTTCATGCAGTACAGGCAGCAAAATAATTATAACTGTTGAAATAACCAAAGTGTAACAGCGACATTATCAATTGACGACAGACAGCCAAATGCCATACGGTTCTGCCATGGGAATTTGCCGGCAGCAGTTAATAGGTACCGCACGTTGCTATCGCCGCGTTTAATCGTACTTCTGATCAATAATAATCTGATGGACCTTTCCAAATTCTCCCGCCCATTTAAAACGTGTTGCGGTTTCATTGGACTACTCCGACTAACCGCCAGCTTTCACCATAGAATTGGCCTGACGTGTCAGCAGGTTCATTTTACTCCACAATGTCATATCAGATCAAATACTTCCTGAATGGGTCGAATTTAAGAACTTTCTTTAGCTGACTCCGACAGTTGTAGAAGTTCAGTTTCCCGAATTTTTCGATTACAAGTTTACAACAATCTTGCAACGGTTTCGGACTTACACGGATTTCTGTTGATGATTTTAAGTTTCTTTGGTAAAAGGTGATGTTTATTAATCCTTCATTTCCCAGGCAGTTTCTGGTTTAGCAACGTTTTGGGAAAGACGTACTAGTAAAGTGATTCAGAATTCTAGAATAGGGGTTCATTACGCGCGCTAGGTTACAAGTTCTTTCGTTCAATGTGGAGAACGGCGGTCTTTCCAATAATTTGCGCCACTTTCGCTCTTTTTGCTTTCGCTGCGGAAAAGGAAGACAGAAAAGATGCGAAAAATGTCGCCACAGTGATTGGCATTGATCTTGGAACAACGTATTCGTGCGTTGGAGTTTTCAGGTAAGTGAGCGGTTTCTTTTTGCGCTGGATATTACTGTACTCATACCAGAAACAGTGCAATACCGCAAGGGAGTTGTTTTGTCCCGAAAATGTGTTCCGCGATTGACTGCGCTTCTTGTCGGATTTGGGAAAACAATGTGTCCTAGCCGTCGACAATGTTAATACGTTCTCGAAATCAGGAATGTAGGTACTTTCTACTCTTAATTTAATTGCCGAATGTTTTTGCGAAGAGCCGTGACAAGATACGCTTAATATACTGTATGTTAATCGTTTCGACTGCACAAGTTATGTCAGTAAAAAAAATCAGTAAAAAATCGAATTGAATGAGCAGTTTAATTAAAATTTTATTTCTCAATATGTACGAGGCGAGCTTCGCTCAACAAATATCATCAAATGAAGAATTTGTCCCAATTAACCTGGGAACGGACCGTTCACAATACACCCATAGCATTACCACGCATAATGTCCACGCACAATCAGTTAGGACTGGCTCAATCACAACTGCTATCACAGAATACAAAAATGCAGTTTTGTATGGTTAGAAATGGCAGCGTGGAAATCATCGCCAACGATCAAGGAAACCGTATTACTCCCTCGTATGTGGCATTCACCCCCGAAGGCGAGCGACTCGTGGGTGACGCCGCGAAGAACCAGCTGACGTCCAACCCGGAGAACACCGTCTTCGACGTGAAGCGTCTGATTGGTCGGGAATGGTCGGATCCCTCCGTGCAGGCCGACATCCAGCACTATCCCTTCAAAGTTGTCAACCGCAACGGAAAACCTCACGTGGAAGTGTCCGTAGCTGGCAGTAAGAGGATCTTCACTCCCGAAGAGATCAGCGCCATGGTGCTGGGCAAGATGAAGGAGACCGCGGAGGCCTACCTCGGCCATCCCGTGACCCATGCCGTCATCACTGTGCCGGCCTACTTTAACGATGCGCAGCGTGCGGCCACTAAAGATGCGGGCACCATCAGTGGACTTAATGTGATGCGCATTATTAACGAGCCCACCGCCGCAGCCATTGCCTACGGTCTGGATAAGAAGGGGGAAAAGAACGTTCTAGTGTTTGATCTGGGCGGTGGCACCTTCGACGTGTCGCTTTTGACCATTGATAACGGGGTATTTGAAGTCCTGGCAACCAACGGGGACACTCACTTGGGTAAATATATAACATCAAAGTAAATGATACACTCTAACTAACTTTTTATTTATTTATTTATTTAATTAAAGCGGATATTCTGGGAATGCAGTAGATGTCCGACTGCTGGCGTTTTTCTGTTTATTTTACTGCACCCGATTTATTGAAATTTACTGTGTTAAGGTGGTGAAGATTTCGACCGGCGGGTTATGGAGCATATCGTCCAACTGTTCAAGAAGAAGCACGACAAGGACCTCCACAAAGACCAGCGTGCTGTTCAGAAGCTGCGTCGTGAAGTAGAAAAAGCCAAGCGTGCGCTCAGTAGCCGGCACCAGACCCGCATTGGAATTGAATCACTCGTCGATGGTATTGATTTCACTGGGACTCTGACTCGCGCTAAATTTGAAGAACTGAACATGGTACGATCAAGAAGTCATCAGACGAACACCAGAGTGAAGAGTGTTTTTATTTGTTGTTTGCTGCACAACAGGATCTTTTCCGATCCACCATGAAACGAGTGCAGAAAGTTTTGGAGGATGCCCACATGAGAAAGGCGGACATTCAAGAGATCGTCCTTGTCGGTGGAAGTACCCGTATTCCCATGGTCCAGCAGCTGGTCAAGGATTTCTTCGACGGCAAAGAGCCATCCCGCGACGTCAATCGCGATGAAGCTGTCGCCTATGGTGCCGCCGTGCAGGCTGGAAGGTTGGGTGGTGAGAAAACAGTCGGGGAAATTCTGGTCATGGATGTCAACCCCTTAACTCTGGGTATCGAGGCCGTCGCTGGTGTTATGACCAAACTGATCCGCCGTAACACCGTTCTTCCTACGAAGAAGTCCATGATTTTCAGTACCGCCGCTGACAACCAGTCCACCGTCAGTTTTCAGTTGTTCGAAGGAGAAGGTCGTATGACCAAGTACGACCATCCGCTGGGCAAGATCAGTCTTTCCGGTATACCTCCTGCATCTCGTGGTGCACCCCAGATTGAAGTGACCTTCCGAATCGATGCCAGCGGTATTCTTCACGTATCTGTTGAGGGCGCCGGCAACAAACAGAATATCACCATCACCAACGAACAGAACCGCCTGAATCCGGAAGATATGGAGAGGAGGAGTCTGAACAGTTTAATGAGGGTGATAGGTTGGCAAAAAAACGCGGTGTAGCTGGCTGACAGAATTATGTTTTGAAGGCTGTTTTTATCGTTCATTGAAGGCTGCTTTTATCGTATTACCTGCCACGAGCAAAAAAATGGAAGTACTTTACACTGAGTTTGTACCTACCACCTTGCTGTCGGCACACTTCTGAAGACGCATGAAATATTGGTATATGAAATAGCATGATCCAGGCCCGTAGCGAGACTCCACTGCAATTTTCAAACTATACCGTCCCCCCACAGTTTTCATCGGCAAGATGCAACGTAGATCCGGAAGTCCTGCGTGACGTTTATTCTTCCACTATACCGGCACGAACGTTTTTCATATCTGCTCCCGAGTGATGTTGCGCCTTTTAAACCGTAAAATTTTTCGACGGCATCTGTAGATGTCGTGAGCTTATTTTCTGGCTTTCGGTATGCTTGCATCATATGCGGCAGGCAAAATGCAACCCGCAAGCAGCAGTAACGCATGTTTGCGACCGAGCAGTACTCTCGGAGGTTGTATATATAGTAAGCCATATTCGGTACGCCTCGTTTTTTATACCAGTGACGAAGTTGCGCATCCATGCAATACATTGCCATTAATATAGAGTAACTGGCCTACACAGAGGCTACACTACAGCAGATTTAGCCATTCGCATGACAATAATAATGTTACACTGGCTCCAGTGTTGTCCATTCATTTCGGAAACCATCAATTCGGAAACCATTCATTTCGAAACCCAACCGTACATTTCAAATCTCGATACTTGGATGCGTCTCATATTTCGGTTACTTTAAGTATACGGTTTCGTATTTCGGACAGCGGTCACTTACAACACCTCCCCCAAGTGGCGCGCTACATAAATAGCTACTGATCGCAAAACGTGCTTTTCATGTTTTCTCGCTGCCTGTAGTCATCAAAACAAAATCGAAAATGTTAAATTTTTAATTTTTTAATTCTGTAAACGCGGAAAAACGGTTATTTTACCTTGCACCCGGTCTGATTTCTGCCCTTACTTTGGAATTTGGATCATTTATAGAAGCTTTTTTGTGAACCATGCTTCGAAATTCATGCGCAAAGTGTGTACTTTGAAAGCTATTTTGTTTCTGATATTTTTGTTTGTCCGCAGACGTGCACCAGGTGACCGAAATATGAAACCCTATATTTAAAGTGCCTGAAATAGGAGGCGCATCAAGTACTCCATGAACCGACGTTGTATTATAATTTATTGTGATTTAAGCGCTATTGTTTCCTTCTTATGTTACTCTGTATTTTTATTTTGTTCTTCTGTTTTCTGATTTCTCATGATTTCCAATGTTTTCTTATTGTTGAATATGCTTTCGTATTTTTCTCTTTTCTTTTGTTTATTGTTTATTGCAAACGGGCAGATATTCCACTAAGAGCTAGGATCGTCATCTGGTGTGGGAATTTCTACCTGGTTTACATAACAAAATGTTGACAGCAGTGACGCCGGGGTAAATATTTTCGTTGACGAATGTTAACAAGTTTATGCCACCACACCACACCGGGGATTTATGCTGTTAGCTCAGCGCTCCGGGCAAAAGGCCCGTTTAGCGACATGAATACAGGAAATTAAACTCCCTGATTTTTCATCAAACCATTTGCTTCTAATTTTTTTGGGTAGTTCGTTTATTACTCAGTATATTGCAGAACGCCGGGATCCCAGTGCCCTTGTACTTGTACTGGAGCACATTGTCTGAAGCTTATTTGTAATTTTTGACTGTGCAATATTTCTCCATCGGTTGCTGTGGCCAGCTATTTGCTCCGACAGTTTTGCTTCCATAGCCGTGAGAATGGTATTTATAAAAGAAGTTAATTGAAATTACTTCTCCAATTTGAGTATTTGAACGTTTTTTTAAAAACCAGCAGGGAATTTGTCGCCTATAGATTGTGGGTGGGCGGTGCAATGTGTGGGATATTTGCCGTCATCCAGCTGGTCGCTATGGCGAAATACAGTAATCAGCATGATGGATATGAGCGACTGCTCCAAACAGACTGTCACATGCAGCAACAGTTACCAGCTAACGACGTGCAGCCGACACGCAAGTTCACTCTACAATCCATGCAGCCAGTGTAGCAAACTTAATTCGCCTTCGGCTGCTTGATAGTACACACATCCTTTCTTTCTTTCGTACTCTCAGCTTCATGATTTTTTCGAAATGCATCAACCTTAGCTTGATTCACATGTTTGTTATTTTTACCGCATTTGAAATGCCAAACTATACGGACTGTAGTGATCACGGATCAGTTGCGATCCGAGATGAGTCGCAGTCAAGATGTTACGTAGGAGGTAGGACTACTGCCTTACATTCGTCTGAGTCGGCAGCACCATATTAATCCACTCTGTGCGGGGCTCCATTAATTTCCGCGAAGATTCCGTTTACACCACTTTTTGCCAGTTTGGGTTTTGTATTAGTGTTGCTATCGGCCATGGATTATTCGGCAGAAGACGCCGCTTTTTATAACCGCTTGAATTGTACGGCAAATAATTCAGCGGATGTGCTAATGTTCCTGAACCAGAGTGATCCCGGATATTTGGCCCAAAGATACAGCTACATCATTATTCTGCTCGTTTTGGCCGGTTTCGGTGTGGCGCTTAATGCCGGCATGATAGCGCTTCTACTGAAAAGTGTCATATATCGTCATTCGACGCTAAGCAGCTTAGTAAGTAAAAAATCGTTTTGCACTTGAAGTAGCAGCATAATATTGAAATTCATTTCAAAATTCTAGATGCGGAACAGTTTACAACTTTACATAACCTCTAACTGACGAATAATGATTATGGAGCACATGAATTGAATTACATTAATATATAATTATTATGAACAGCAAGGATAAAACTTGTGAAATATTTATGTAATCCGGTCACGCATTACTACTCATGTAATTTTTCAAAGAAAACCTGATTGTCCGCAGCATACGTACAGTTCAGTTCAGAATATAAACTAATCTTATGCTCTGAGCCACTGACCCTTGCTGTTAATGTATTTTTAAAATCTATACAGCAGGCGCTCGCCTTTCTTTGTCTCTTTGACACAATTAACCGTAACATACAGGTGACCAAATTGACAAAATTTCATTAATATTTATTTAATATCTACGCTGCCAGCTGTTCCAGTTGAGCGGAGCAGCTGCTCAGTAAACAAGTGTTTCCTTAGTTGTGACTACATTAGCTGTGCTACAGCGGAGAATTGTATCATATGTACGAGTATGTATGTCATTTTGCAGTTACTGCAGTTATTTGTGGCTAATCTGATGGTGCCGGTGTTCTGTCTACTGGCTGACGGGATCTGGAACATCACCGTGCAGTGGTTGGGTGGGGATCTTCTCTGCCCCGCCATCAAATTTTGCCAGATGTTCAGGTGCGAGTTTTAACTGACACACTACTGTACGCATCGTACGTTGCTCTCATCTTCATCGAAGCAATAAACTGCTGTGCTAATGTTCACTCTGTCTCGTGCATATGTTGTCCATGATGCAGCCGGCAGAATGCAACGATTAGGTGCGCGATGTACTGTGTAAATGACTGTACTTTTGAGCCGGGGCGCACGCGCCGACCCAGCTGAAGTTGGTCGTGTCCTTTTATGGCTCGGCGGGAATTCGCGAATATTCCAATAGATTACATACACGGCTTAACGGAAGCTGTTAGGTACACTGTGTGCCATTGCTCGGGCTGGACTTGTCGGTGTGCGTCTCTGATGCTTATCATTCAGGACCGACGCCCCGCATGTGGCTAGCACTCTCATGGCCGACATTCATCATGTAACGTGTTTTCCTGCGCAGTTTTAGGCGACGAGGTAATCGATATTGCAGCTAGGAGTGCAAATATATTCGTTAATTTTCAACCCGTTCACATAATATTCAGGCCACAACTATTGTAATCAGCAGAGAACTTCACGGATAACAAAATATTATGAGCTGTAGTTGGTGCACCGAAGAACGGCCCGACAAAGATTTAGCGTCGGCCGTCTGCTACCAAATAAGGGTATCCTTTCCGTCAGTTCCGTTCCGTCAGAACGTAAATCGACTATCCAGAGGATGAGCCACCCAGGGTGTTACACTTTTTGTAGAAAATTCTGTGTAACTTCTTGATTTTATTTTTCTCAAATCCGCTGATGCAGTTTTGCTCCTTAGCGTTCTGTGAACGGGAAAAAATAAAATTCCCATAAGGATTTCCCATGAAAGTAACTTAAAGGAACCCAGAGGTTTCGAATATGTTGGCTGCATTGTTGAAAACCGAAATCATACTTTAACTTACTTTAACTTTCGAAACACTTTAAACTGTGCAGCGGGAGGGCCTAATGACACTGTATTGACCGTGTACGGGTGCTTAGTCGATGCGACACGGCACAATACATGGACCCCATGCGGCCAAATGGTGCCAAATTCATGTCCACACAAGCAACTTATTTTTTTGGAATTGACGAATTTTTTGAATCTAAAACACCTATGCCCCCCTGCAATCGAAGCTGCCGTCCAGAGGGGTCTAACGCCCCACATGCGACTCCTCTCGGGTGGTCGCTGTAACGCTGCTGGCAATTACAAAAATATAAAGTGAAAAGTTTGGTTTGAGTTTTTCCACCGACCGCGGACACTTGTCATGCGGTGTGGGTTTAGATACAGAACCGCATAACTTTGCACATAGCAACAAATTATAAGCTGAAAGCTTAACGCACTTTTAGTTACAGAGCACTTTGTGTGCAGCGAGAGAGCCTGTTCTTCTTTTCATATTTAACGCTGCTGTAATACTGTTCCAGTTTATACGCGAGCACGTTAATCCTGACCGGAATGAGCATTGAAACCTGCATCACTGTAACATTTCCACTGAGTAAATCCAGTCATTCCGAGAGTCTGTCGCGGGTGAAGGTCATCAGTGGTTTTGTCTGGCTGGTCTCGTCGATGTTCAGTGTGCCGCAGGTAAATTAGTTCGATTAATCCGTTAAAATATACGTCAAATTTCAAAACAGATATTCATACTTCATCACCAAAATGTACAAGTTACATTGTATTGTGACAGCAAAAGAGGTTTGAAAAATATGTACGGATTTCCAGTGCAACTACTGCTACCTTCTGTCAGCGATGGTTATTTCGAGTACAGTAACCATGCCCTTGAAGGAAAATATCATCAGCGGCTAATTCCCTTTATTCAAAATCGGATGTAGCAAATTATGTACTTAGTAAAGTATGCGCATAGCCAAACTAATTCTTAGTGATAAAACAATTAGTTTTAAGCGAGGAATACTGTCCTATAACCCTGCACTTGACAGAAATTTGTACACACTGAACGATACGGTGCTCTTTAACCTCTTTAGGGCATACTTATCTTGTTTTGGATGCGTAGTAAGGTGCACCGCCTGAACAAAATTTCAATGAAAATAATGACGGAAACGTTCTTCGTTGAGCCACTATTTTTGCAGGCAGTAATCTTCCATACGGATCGCGCCCCAATTTGCACCAAATTCTATCAATGCGTCACTCACGGCTTTTATTCGAGCGCCGATCAAGAGCTTGCCTACACCTTAGCTACTCTCACCGTCATGTGCTTGATTCCGCTGTGCATTATTGTAATCTGCTATTTGGTAATTTCCGTGGCCATCACACAGGAATCGCGGATGGCGGCCGGAAGTCTTGGTAGGCGCTCAGTTACTGATAAAATCGCACACTCTTTTCCGGCAAAGATTCCGGAATTCTTTTGATTACCGGAAGGCGACATCAGTGGCCATAAAATTTGACATACTTGTACTGATAAATATGCAGTTTTGTGATTATCACCGTTGTAATACAGTGGTGATAATTATACTACTGTTTGTTGGTAACATAACTGCTGAAGCGTCGCTCAACCTGGGGTACATGGCCGGGGATTTCGAGTCCACCCAACCTGTTTTGGGTAAATTGGAACTCAGAGCATAAATCTACGACTGCTTACCAAAAATGAAAAAACGATAAAGCAATAATTTAAAAGGTCAAAAACTGGATAAATTGCAAAGCGTTGCAGCTGTGAAGTTAATGCTGTAGCTTTTTTTGCCAAATTTTAAAAATTATAACACTACTAAAGCCAAAGGGCAACTTGCTTTCACTCCAAAAAAACGGTGGATGCACGCACTTATTATTCCTATCCTTGTAAACTGTAGATAAGCACGGATTAATGGCTTTTGGAATTAAATTTTCAGATTTTCAGATATCATGCCGGCAAATGCTTACTCTGTAGCTGGTTTGCTGACATAATAAGCTAAATTACAAATTTGTACAAACTAACTGGGAAATGGAAATGAATGAAAGCATTTTTATAAACGATAAAAATAAGCGGCGGTGGACAAAACTTGTTTTTGCCAGACATAAACTGGCACAAGTAAGTTTGTATCCAAATCCTGAGAACGCTATTGAGTTACTTATCATCGGCAGTTTGGTGCAATACAGTAACATAAATGCATTTGTTCGTCTACAAGACTACGACTACGGTAACATAAAAACTAATGCTGCTATAATGATTCGCTATCGTGCCGACTGACAATTTGCCGACAAGTGAGACGTTATTATGCGAATCAGTTTCGTGATCTCGTTTAGTGAAGTTGTTTGAAGAGCAAAATGATTGATCCATGAATAATAGTTTGTGCGAACACCATGCCGATCCACATGTGCGCAAGGAAACGTAGGTCAACGAAATGGCACGCAAGTATTAAAAAAAAATATTTCTCCCAACAGTGCACATACAGGCAAAATATTAATCGGATAAAATCTGTAGTCTGTGTAGTTCTGTATTCGAGTTGGTTACACATCTGCATGCACGTTCGGCTTCACGGAGGCAACAGTATCATCTCGCCGCTAAATACTTTGCGGCCATCTTTTAAAATCTGGCTTAGAAACGTGCTTAAACAAAAGAACAACGGTTTTTTGTTTTCAGTCGGCGTATCGTTGCTGTGTAATACACTCCGCATCGTTTCGACATCTCTTTATTTTATTTAATTATGGAGTTTGTATCCTGAACTTAAATTTTTCTTTCTTACTGTACCTTCTTATTTTTTCCAATCATCATACAGCTCAGCGCAATTTGTGCCCCTGCCAGAAGAAATTTGGAAGAATAAAGTTGTCTTGTCTCCTCTTGTCCTACAAATGCTGATTTAGAGTAATATTTTTATGTGCAGATTCTGCCGCAAATTCGCGATTGTGTGCATGTCACCCAGAAGAAATTTCCAGGCCTAATGCGCACACTGCCGCGATGTTATGTCCTAGCAGTATGGGTCACGGTCATTGGCTTTATCGGAAAACCCGCAAAATATCCTTGTGGATGACTTTTATTACGGCTGCCAGTTTTGTTATCTGCTGGGGTGAGCTTTAACTTTATTCGTGGGTGCGTAAAATATGAGTATATGTACGAGTACATAGTAAGTATTTAATTTACATCACCAAGCATTCTGGCTTCTCCTACGGCGTAATGACTAAGCTGAGCTTTTTTTGGTCGGTGAAAGCAGCGGTCGTGACCCAGTATACGTATTACTTGAAATCAATTAAGCCGTTAACAACAATGTGCCTGATCGTGCCTTCGTACGTTGCAGTGCCGTACTATGTGGGAATGCTTGGATATTTGTTCCACTGGACAGTGTCCACTAACACAATGACTATCATTTTTTTGTCTGGGTAAGTACTGCTTTTATGCAACCGATAAACATTTAAAAAACTGAAAAAATTAATAGTTAGCAAAATAAGAAAACATTGAAATAAGATGAAAGTACAGTCATGAAACAAAAAATCAGTGATAAGCAAATGCGATTGCATTATTGGGATACTGGTGTTAGTTCTTTGTGAGTTGTTTCGCTTTTTGTTGCTGCTCATAGCAATAAGTGACTTGCTAAGGTGGTGAGATACTCGTACTTTAGCAGCTCGGTATATTTCGTTCTGTTCAATTCAGGTATGAGTTTTTCGGTGATCAACCCGATTGTTTTTGGTGGTTTTTTGTTAACCCGTCACTCCACATGGAACAACCAACAAGCGCACCATACATCGAGGCGACCATCTCCATTTGCATTCGTTTTCTCTGGAGAGCAATACCCCATTTTGTAGCTTAAGTGATCATGGTGTTTATGCTTCCGGAACATAATATTCTGTGCGAATATCGCAGGCAGCCCCTCCGATGAAAGCATGTTTCCCACGTACTAAGAGTCAAGTTGAAACGTTCTATTCGTATTACACTCGAATTACCCATAACTTCTTACCTGTTTTGTTAGATTTGTTTTCTTAGCTTCTTACTTGTTCTGTCAGCTGTTGTTGAAATTCTCCGTACATTTTCGTTTCGCCGCTTGTGAGATCGATAATTGTCGGAACACAGACACTAATTAACATCATCGCCTACATGTCCTGTTAAAAAATTTGCGTTTATTCGACATTACGCTTATTCTCAGAAGCAAGATTTTTGAAACATTCTTACATTTACTACACACCTACATTACCGTAGTAAAATATGTATTCAGTGGTATTTTTTTGAATGGGTCGTCTAACCAGGGCACATAGGGGTCCTCCCCTTTCAAAAAAATCTCGCTTTTCGCAGAAAGGTAGTAAACCTACGTAGGGTAATTAAAAAAATAATTTCACTGGCTGTAATTATGATGGGCGTGGCCAAACACATATTTAAAGCGTATCCAATACCACAGTCATAGTATTACCATTGCAGCACAGGCTGTATGTGTGGCAGTCATTTTGCGGGCATTACAGTAGGCCACTAGCCGTGGACTCTTGCAGCTCCCGAGGATCTATGTACGCAAGCGAAACCGTGCGGTGGTCTCTGCAACGCTTACACTGCCTACTTTCAAAACTACGTTATTATTTAAAATGTGTTATTATTATGTGTATTTTTGCACATCGTGCAAGAAGTTTCCTTGTACCAACTCGAAAACGCTAAGCAAATATCGGCATACTGATACTCTGGCTAGGGTAGAGCCTAGACTAACCTTTCAGTTCTAACATTATAATATTAACTAACTTTTCGGTTAGACTAACATTGCAGACTAACTTTTCGGATAATGGTAACAAAAAACCTCGCCTGTGGTTGGTGGAAACGTATGCAAGACGAGACGTTTCTGGAGACGTTTCTGGAGACTCCCCTTTCGGCGTCACCAAGAACGATATCCTTTTGATCACATTGGTGACATGGGAAGCTTACACGAGAGAGCAAATTTCTGATCATCGGCGACCTTTTAAAACTGCTACCGGCAATTTTTAAATCCAAAACCTCTAACTATTATTTGGGAACAAAATTGTCGTGCACATGTCCATGTGTTGGCGGTGACGTACGCACGGACACCACGAGTTACATTAGGCGAATATATAAACGGCCACGCTGCATGTGTGCTTGTTGGTAGCAAATACCGCCGTGCATATGTGTAGGTGGTGGCGGTGACTGGCGCACAAGCACTACATTTTTCACTATCCTCGAACGTAGAATACCTTCGCTACTCTTTGGTCGATTAAACATTTTGAATATTTCTACAACAGTATTTCCCCAAGCTCATCAATGATTTTCACGCCAAGGTAAATCAGTAAGCAAATGAGCTGCAAAGGAACCGCCTAAAAACAGTGCAAGAAAGAGTTCTGGAGAGCGTAAAAGGGAAAATATTTGCGTAAGGAGACGATCTCGGTGCCATTAAATCGGATTACTTCCTTTCAGCTGAGCCTGGGAGGGTAGCCAACGAGATGGACGAAATTAAACCTCTAATGAGCGCAGACCTTTTGGCACGGTAGGATAACGTGGTTGGAGAGCTTGCGCAGAGCCACAGCAAGATATGCCCGCTTTTGTTCTCCACATGCTGCAGCCATCCCGGGACACTGCTGTACACACCCAACTCTGTGGCGATTCGTGACTGCTGCAGTCCCATACACACGACATAATCCGCGCTCATTCTGAACACCCCTCCCTCCAGTTGATCCTGTGCCAGACTGCGTACCGAGTTCCGGCTATTCACACACTCTTCAGAAACTGACACGAAATCTCCAACGTCCACTTTACTCATTATTTCCCGCCCGTCCGGCGTTATGTCGAAGTTCTGGCCCCCTAATTCTTTCCAGAAGACGGTGATGCGGCGCTGAGCCGGGCCTAGTTCCCCGTTGACCTTTTTCGCAGCGGTGACGCCGCCGTATTCTGTTCCCTGGGAATACGTTTTGTGGCGTGGTGGTTCTATTTGCGTCCATACGGGCAAAGTTTGCCGGTGAACAGATTCTTGGAGAAGGAACGCTTGAGCGTTGTCGTCAGAATAAATGAGAATGTTACGCATTCTTGTGCTGTCTTCAGCTACGATAACGCACCAATCATAGTCGGCAAAAATTTCTTTCAGTTTTGCTCCAATTTGGTCGGCGATCTCGCGATTATTTACCATGGCCTCGTGATCGAATTCCGTTATATATCCGTCAACCAGTTCCAAGATTTCAATTCGCTGAATATTGTTGGGACTGAAAAAATTCTTAGCGCTTTTTCTCATGGCACTGTATAATCTGTCCATAATTTCCCCAAATTCAATGACCATCGCACTGTACTCAACGGGGATTTGCGAGAAGTTTACTTCCTCAGTTTGGTTGAAATAAACCATGTAGTACAAAATTAATGAATCCGGAAGCACGTTAAAATGACAAATTCGCACCACTCTTTGAAACTAGACGGCATCACTGCTATGGATTGTTCATAAAGGATTTCTAAACTACTTTTCACAGCTGAATTTGTGATAATTTCTCTGTACAGGTCCCCCAACATTTTATCCGGCGGAAAACGTATGATGGCATCGTGGAATAGCTTCGTAAATAAGTGATGGCTGGAGCTCAACGCTTCCGGGCACTGCAGACAATTATGCAATTCTTTAGCTAAATAATTTAGCTGTCCATGAACACGTCGGCAGATTTCCACAATTTTGTTGGTCTGAGGAACTTCGGTATCAGATGAAGCTAGTAGATGTGCCGCACGCAGCGTTACCTTTTTCAAATAATCAAGCACTTGCAGGCGATCATTGCAAAGAAACCAGTGCGGTGCACTCGTATGATTTGATCTGGAAAAATGTATAGAAAAATCCCCTGCACACTTTAGGGAGTCAGAAGTGGACAATGTAAACCTTAGCTGATCCAGAAACGGTGTGTAGAAGTACATCGCCATGTTTGATGAAAAAACAGTTTAGCTTCAGCTTTACCACTGAAAATTCGTCGAGCTACGACAAAAAGCCGTTTATAGATTTTTAATGGGTTGAACAAGAGCCCGCGGAAACAGCTATGGTTAATTTTCGCCGTAAACCGTTACAAAACCGGCATAGCGCTCGTATGTTTAGTAGTGCTTCCAGTCAAACATACGGTACTTGGATTTAACGCGGCAGCCGCGCAATATGGGCTTGCTTCACATCAACGATTACTCCGCAGCGTAATGTAGGACATTACTGTCGCACCGACTCACCGGTTAAACACAAGAATGATGTCTATGACACTAGATTACAAGGGATTTTTTGCGGTTGCGCTTCTTAGCTTCCGCGTTGGACTTTCTGAGCCGAGCAAATGCCGATCGGATAACCAGTTTGGTTATTGTAGGCAGCCCAGAAGCATGATGCGATCATGTGAGCGATATTAGACAGATTAATGTTTTCTTACTAAGGAGTATTGCCCTCTTACCGAATGTTGCGTACACAGAAGTGAGAGAACAACGCTGTACAGTGTGTGTTCCAAAGCTTGTACGCGTGAGGTTCACAGGAGCCGTTCCTGTGGAACTTTCAAGTTTCATTATTACATGCAATTAGGCAGGGAAGCATTCCAAAATATGAAAATTCACAGAGTTATCCAAGTTTGGCTTAGAGCATGCGATTTAAGGTAAACTTTTTTTGTCCTTCCGTAGGTTAGGACTTTTCCGGCACAAATTTTAAAAATTCGAGCTCCGACGCATTCTCGAGCTGATTGCATACGGTCAAATGCTTGTTACAAAACTGGGAATCACGCGATAAAAATTTAAGCGCCGAAATACTAAGAGATTACACAAAGTCACCCAGAATGGTTGCCAGAAGCAACCCATTCTTTCCCATTGCTGTCCAAGTGATATCACAGGGTACATCATACCTCTTTTTCTGCAAGCTAACGCCGCTGGCTAACGTGGGTGCTGAGGCCCATTTGAGAAACTTGACAAAGCTAACTCGCACTCGCGAGGGGTAGCCAAAGTTGGCCAGTTTTTGATGTCACCGGTGACATGAGGTCTAGCAGAATACATGTACTGGAAAGATTGTTATTTTGTTGTTCAGTTTTTTGGAAGACATTGGAAAGAGATTGTTTGCTCGAACAAGCGAGTTTTCTACTTCATATTTGTTTCAGCATTTTAGTCTAGAGATCTGGCGAGGGAACGCGCAGCTGATCTTGGCCACTGCTTCTCCACGCGCTAATTGGGACCGTTTTTCCGTTTGAACTTTGGTTTTTTCTTGCGACGCTGTCCATTCCATTTACGAATAAAGTGCAACTTACATGTTTTATCGACAATTCCTAGTTTTCGTGGTCTAATCGAACGGGATCGGGTAAATGGATGTCGCGAGTTAACCGCTAGCCTTCCACAGGCGACTGCTCCTATTATTACTTTCTATTCGATCTTCTGGTATCGGTTAACTTACGTTTTCACTTCAGGGAAGAGTGCCGGTACATTGTACCAAATTCGGGCCAAATGGTTTTTTCGAGTTATCCGCGAAATCTGTATTAATAACTGTACACAATCAGATCGTACACCATAGATCGGCCCTGTTGCTTAGGCCGGGCCGGGCCGACCCAACACCATATGTCAGTATGTGTGATACTTTTCCAGCGCTGGTGACAGTTGTTCTGAATTAATTGTAACCTTATGGATTCTCAGCATCAGGAAAAAAATGCGTTGCCACTACAACATACAACATGCAGTCTTATTGTCAAGAAGAAAATCTTTGATGCACTGTATTATGGATGCTGGTACACTTCGAAAGGCACCGCAGTGTTCGCTTAGCGCGAATGCACTGCACCAAACTACAAAACCGAAGTTTGCGGTCAAGAAATAAACAAAATTAAAAGAAACAAATTTTCTTTGCAAAATTTGAATTGCTTGGCTTGGAAAAAGTCGCTTTTAAGAAATCTAGATAAACAATTTTTTTTCATTTCCTGGTTTTTGGGAAAAAGCCTTGCCCGTTAAAGCGCTGGGAAATTATGTTCGTTCGTATTTTGTTTTACATCGGAAGTGATTAACTGACGCTTGTTTTACACTCTCCGGTTCGCTGCGAGTTTCTTTTGCGCATTGATTCAGGGTTGAACCGGGTGTTTTACATGAAGTTGCACACTTTCGTTAAAATGCACCTACTACGGCTACGTAGTCGGTCGTACAACTGCGTGAGAGAACAGAGTGCACAACAGGCGGGGTATGATGCCGCTCGCCGGCTCAGTCGGAGTTTATCAAACTACCTATGCGGAAATCAGAGGTAAGCGTGAAATCAGCTGAACCGTGAGCGATTGACCACATAGTCCTTTTCTTTAATTATTCCTGCTCAAACTGAAACCATGAACAAACACTATAGTACATTTGCTAACTGCTTTATGTATCGGACTGTAGTCATATTGGGCGGACTACCCAGTTCTGTGCATTATTACATCTTGCACTAATCAGTCGAATATTCACGGTTCTGTTCACTTCAAATTATTTTTACGGATCCGCAATTCGCTTTCTTAGACAAAACAAATTCGGAAGTAATTCTCACGTAAATTTGTTCCACGATTGCAGAATAAGAGAGACTACGCTAGCTACGCGAGCGACACAAGAAGGATTTTGCAAAACTCCGGATGTCGTGGCGAACGTTTTTAAGGGCATATCCAAACAGTATGGGATCTACACTGGCGTGCACTAGTTTTAGGATTTTGCCGATGCGGTAAAACTGGACGCTATCAGGGAAAAGACCGAAAATGAAGAATAAGTTACTCGGCGTCCAGCACACAACAAAGCTCCACGTGATGGCCGTTAAAACGGGGAACGATGACTTGACCTTTTGCGCCGAAATGGAGTAATCGGCCGCGGCGGCATCGGCTCCTTGGAACGGCAGCACATTGCGCTGTACGTTTTTCCAGTGCCTGCAGCAGAAATACGTGTAGCCCACTAAGATAATCAGCTCCGGTAAACCGTAGAAAACGATATTATAGGGCAGTAGCCAATCCGGTTGACCATATGGGAGTATTGCAAAACCACAATTGACGTCGTCCAGCCGGTCCAGATATACCACACTGTCGATCGTAATGGACGGCACAACGTCAATTAGGATAACAATCCAACTGCCTGCCCATATTGCGACGGCAAAGCTTCTGGTGTGGTATCTTCGGTAGACAAATGGCCACTGGATAGCCCAAAAGCGGTTAACTACAATAAACATATGGGCAAGCGGAAGCGTCGGACCGAGAAACGACAACACAAAACGGTAGCACACGCAAAATATTGCAGCGGAACGTGTCGGTAATAGGAACTTAACAGCAAAGAAGAACGGATTCTGAGGCAATAAAGCGCTTAATAAATTGGCACTCAGAAGGGTGATCACGTAAATGCCGAAGGGTGTCCGCAAACTTTGATTGCGCCAGTATGATGTTAGAACCATAGCGTTGCCCAGTATGGCAAAAATACTTGCCGTTAGCATCAGCCACTGCATGTATGTGAAGTAAGCCCATAATGGCGATACGGATGCTGGCCCAGACGGCACAGCGAGCGTGCTGTTGTTTCCCGTGAGTACTGTCATGCAGTACTTGCAGTATAAACACGTTATAAAAAGGCATCCAAAATTTAAATCCTTCCTGTCGAGATGATAAGAAATTTTCAGGGAGCACAGGCCTTGCAGCGTTTCGCTATAAAATCCCTTTTATAATGAGAAAGAATATTTTATAAGGTTAGTTTGATTTCAGACGTCAATTTCTTGAAAATAAACGCTTATTTTTCCTTATTACGCGTTTTCAGCGCTCATCAAATTTTCTTTGGCCTATTTCGTTCATGATGCCTTAGCACGGATGCTTTATAACAGCGCGCTGGCATCGTGCCGAGGACGCCTTGCCTTAACAATTAACTGGCCTTAGCCGCACATGGGAATGGCTTTTCTGGTGCTTGATACGCAATTAGGTTACAAGTGGTAATAATTACGAAGATATGTGCCGATCGCGGCAATTGGTTGACCGCAAACAAGAACTCATTTCGAAGAAGTAATGCGCTCACGCGAGAAAGGCTCCCTTGAGGATAATTGCTAATGTGCACGGGCAGCCAGCGCCTGGAAATTCTTGATTGCATTCCATGAGTAAAGAGTATGTACTACTGTATATGAGCAATATCAAGACACAAGATCTGTAATAAAACTACGTATTGAAACACCTGTTTGATCATTCGATACAACAAACTACAGATCTGTAGAAAACGAAAAAAAATGCTAACGCGTTCGCATTGAGCATTGCCTGAAAACTGCGTTTCATGGACTTTTTTTCTGAAGTTGCTTCGCGGTCGTTTCCCACGTACCGGTGCCGGTACAGTTTGGATCTCAAGATGACCTTGAAAATGCATGAAAATCACGGTTCTTATGGAATGGCTCAGTCTCCCAGCAAAAAATGATGTCTTGTGCAGAATCAGAATGATGTCTTGTGCAGAATCAGCTGGTGCAGGCATTTAGAACCGGCGAAATTGTGGAATCCGTGCAAAAAAAGCTGGATAGCAGTCGAATTCGATAAAAACGTTCAAAACATGCGTTTTAAACAACTTGCGATTCAAGAGCGTTCTTCAATGCCAACCAAAATTTAACAGTAAAACGCCCGTTTA